AGCTAGAGAAAAGAAACAAATCATCTATGAAGGAAAGCCCATCAGAATCACAACAGACTTCTCAACACAAATGATCAAGTCAAAGAGAGCTTGGAGTGAAGTATTTCAAGCTCTAAAAGAAAACATTCTTCAACCCAGATTGAAATGCCCTATCAAACTATCCTTCAAAATCAATGGAGAAATAAGATACTTCCATGACAAAGAACACCTGAAGAAATTCATGAGCACCAAACCAGCTCTTCAGAATGCTACAAAGATATATGAGAAGGATAAAATTAGGACTACAACCATAAAAACAACAATACAGAGAAGCCACAAGGCAGGGCAAACAATTAAACAGAGGAGAAAGACAGGGAACCAACAGGAAAATGACGTGAAAAAGATAAGTCAATACATATCAGTTATAACCAACAATGTAAATGGTCTCATTTCACCCATCAAAAGAAACAGACTGGCAGAATGGATCAAGAACCAACATCCAACAATATCCTACATTCAAGAAACACATTTAACACCCCACCTCCAAAATTCATAGACTAAAAATCAAAGAATGGAAAACAATACTCCATGTCACAGGAACCCAGAATAAAGCAGGGGTAGCTATTCTATTTGCAGACAGTATAACCTTTAAGCCAAAATTGTTCAAAAGAGACAAAGGAGGTCACTATATACTTGTTAAGAGAAAAGTCCAAGAAGAAGAGATAAAAATCATAAACATATATGCACCAAATACTGGTATACCCAACTGCATAAAACAAATATTAGCAGACATAAAAAAAATCAAGTAAGCATTAAAACAATTATAGTGAGGGATTCTACTACCCCACTCTCACAAATAGATAAATCAACTAGGAAAAAATCAACAAAGAAATATCAGAGTTAAACCAAACCTGTGAATAAATGGACTTGACAGATGTCTACGAAGTGTTTCACCCCACACATGAGAATACACATTCAGCTGCACATGAGATATTTCCCAAATTAGACCACATATTATCCCATGAAACGTGCTTTAGTAAATGCAGGGAAATTGAAAGCATCCCATGCATGCTATCTGGCCATAGTGCAATGAAACTGAAAATCAACAGCAAAAGAAATCACAAAAATTACATAAACACATGGAAATTAAACAACACCCTTCTGAATGACCAATGGGTCACAGAGGAAATTAAAGACAAAGTTAAACAGTATCTATAATTAAATGATAATGCTAATAGAACATACTGGAACTTATGGGATGCAATGAAAGCAGTCCTATGAGGAAAATTTATAGTGATGAATTTTCACATCAGGAAAATAGAATGAGCTCAATTAAATAACCTAATGTTAAACCCTAAACTTCTAGAAAAGGAAGAACAAATCACACCAAAACTCATACAAGGGAGGAAATTATAAAGATCAGAGGAGATATTAATGCAATTGAGACTAAGGAAATAAAAGATTTATACATTGAAAATTACAGTACTCTGAAAAAGGAGATTGAAGAGGATATCAGAATGTGGAAAGATGTCCCCTGTTCATGGATCAGAAGAACCAACATAATGAAAATGGCCATACTCCCAAAATGTTATACAGATTTAATGCAATCTCAATTGAAATACAAGTAGCATAACTCACAGAGCTAGAGAAAGCACTCCTAAAATTCATTTGGAACCAAAAAAGACCTAGAATAGAAAAGGCAATTCTGGACAACAAAAACAAGGCAGGGGGCATCACAGTCCCTGATTTGAAATTATACTAAAAAGCTACTATAATAAGATCAGTGTGGTACTGGCAAAAGAACAGGTTTGAGGCCAAGTGGAACAGAATGGCAGACACAGAAACAACTCTAAACACACTCGGCCACCTTATCTTTGACAAAGGGGTCAAACATGTTTATTAGAAGAAAAATAGTCTCTTTAATAAATGACACTGGAAAAACTGGCTTTCTCTATAATGAAGACTGAAACTATACCCATGTCTATCACCATGCACTAATGTCAAAATGGATCAAGGATCTAAATATCAAAACAGAAACACTAAAACTACTGGAAGAGAAAATAGATAAAAATCTTGAAGACATAGGTGTAAGTGGAGACTTCATGAACAAAACCCCAACTGCATGGGAAATACTACAAAGAATCAACAATTGGGATCTTACCTTACTGAAAAGCTTTTGCACATCAAAAGAAATCACCAACGGAGTGAAAAGACGACCCACAGAATGGGAAAGATTACAACCAGTTGTCCCTCAGATAAAGGACTTCCCTCTAGAACATATAAAGAATTGAAAATAATCTCGCTTCCCAAATTCAAAGACCTAATCAACAAAATGGGTATCAGAGATGAATACATACTTCTCAGAGGAAGAAATATAGATGGCAAATAGGTATATGAAAACATGTTCAGCATCTTTGGTCATCTGAGAGCTGCAAATTAAACAACTCTGAGATTTCATCTCACTCCAGAAAAATGGCTATCAATAAATGGACCAATAACAGATGCTGGTGGGGCTATGGAGAAAAAGGAACCCTTTTCCACTCTTCATAAGAGTGTAGACTGGTGCAACAATTGTGGAAATCAGTGTGGAGATTTCT